TTTATTATGTCAGCACACATTTAATGAGTTATGGAAAGTATTCTGTTTCGAGAACGGAGTTAACTGTATCTTATCCGTACTCTAGCCATTCTGGTTGCTTCTGGCTGCTCTCCAAGCTGGCCTGTTACCCAGACATATTTCTTTCCTCATAAGAAATACATTGAAATCCCAAAAACATATGCTTCTGACTGCTAGGAGAATTTTACTGGGGAGAGATTAATGTCACTGCTTTTGTTTGAGAAAATATAATTGGGCACAGTTACATACATGTGGCTTATGTAAGAAATATGGCCTGCTTTATAACTCATTATAAGTTTATTTTTACTTTTAAAAGTGAAACTACAATGAATCAAAAAGGTACTTGCTTCCTCCACTCCTGATATTCTAGAATAATTGGACTGGAACAATCCCCCTTTGTGTGAGGTCAATGGCTAGGTATGGATTTGGGCTGATAGAAAAGCAGCTAATCAGGGGATTGCAGCTGGCAGGGTGAGCTGATAAAGCCAAACCTACCTGACAATGAAACAGGGCAGAGGGCTAGGCAAGTGTGAGGACCAGGAGTAAGTCTGTGACTTCACAACCTCACAGGAAACAGAAAGGAGCCCTGCTGGTCAGAAAGTCAGCTCGAGAACTTCCATTATCTCTATGTTACCCAAGGCCAGGCTTTACTCTGAGTAAGATGGCCAACAGGGCTGACTGGAGCAAAGTGCTGTCTCTCAAACTTCCTTCTCACCTTTACTTACGTTCACATCTTGCCTGACTTCTCTTGTCAGATGTGAAGGCCAAGGCTGCTTCGGTGCCCTACACTTTCTGGTAACATATTTGGTACATTAGCCAAGAAGTTAGGAATTAAATATGTCTTTTCTTGAATTGGACTCATGGAAAGATATAGTACCAACAATATCATGTACATCAACAAGATATTATCAAATGGTATGTGAGACAACTTATATTTGACCTGTTAAGTTTTAAAGAGAAAAATGCTTATTAGCTTAAAAATCTCTGAAATAAAAAAATATTCTAATTCCCAACTACAATAGTTTCTTCAGACATTGCCATTATACCATGATTCTTTTTCTCAAGTGTTTTGTGTAAAATAATATAGTCAAAATGATCTTCACATCTTTCTTTTAGTTCTAAAGAAAAATGTAACTAAATGCACTTAAATTTTAGTTGAGTTTAGATCAACAGAGTTATGTTCTTAAGACTTGTCGGTCATGGGGCTTGAACTCTGGGCCTGAGCACTCTTCCTCAGCTCTTCAGCTCAAGGCTAGTGCTCTAACACTTGCACCTCAATGTCACTTTAGGTTTTCTAGTGGTTTATTGGAAATAAGAGTTTCACGGACTTTCCTGCCTGAGCTTTTAACCATGATCCTCAGATCTCAGCCTCTTGAGTAGCTAGGATTAGAGGCGTGCACCACCGGTACTCAGTGTTCTTAAGACATTGTGACTCAAATAGTTTAATTCCTTAGAAAGGTAAAGCTGAAGTATAGCAAAATAAAACACCAGGAAGTGAGTACTAGCAAGAAAGGGGTGGGGTGGGACCAAGGGTAAAGGGGTGGGCAAATGAAAAGGAGAAGAGGGGAGAATGCAGTCAAGAATCCAGTTTATATTCTACCGAATTAAGTTGGTGGGTAGTGGAGGAATGGGTGAGAATATTGAAATGGCTGACATTCATCAAAGACATACAGTATTCAAAACTGCTTTCTTACAAGACAGCTCCTTTGTACAACTACTTAACAATAATTTAACCACAGTAGAAAAAAATAGAATGTGTGATTTGGTCAGGTATTGGTAGTTTAAGCTTATAATCAATCCTATTTAGGAGGCTGAGATCTGAGGATTGAGATTCAAAGCCAGCCAGGTCAGAGAAGTCTGTGAGACTCTTAGCTTCAATTAACTAGCCAAAAGCTGGAAGTGGAGGTGTGGCTCAAATAGTAGATTGCCAGCCTTGAGTAAAAAAACCAAACCAAGCCAAACCACAACAATAACAAAAAACACCTAATAGCAGCTGGGCCCTGAGTTCAAGCCCCACCACCAATAAAACAAAAGAAGAATTGGCATCACTTGATAGTACTGGCTCTTTAGGTTTTCCTCTAATGGGTCACATCAAGCCCCTACCAGTTCTTTACAGAATGAGTCACACATTTTTTTTTCTGTAAAGTTTCATTTCTCCTGTTTATTTCAAGATTTCAATTTCAGAATTGTAGTAATGCATCAAGAAGAGCCTGGAGACACACTGTTATTACACCCGCCACAGGCCTTCTGGAGTTAGGTTTGTTCTCTATCATAAATAAATAAATAAATACCTAAAAGCATTGTTCATAGGGTAAGATCAAATCTTACATACCTCCATAGCCCAAACATTACATTCCTGACATTTTGGGCATTTAAATGTAAACTGTGCTCTTTGTTAGGACCTCCTCATAACTAAAATATGAGTCACTTACAAAACCATAATAGATTTTGGCCGTGCTGCGTGATGAAGTGTTTTGGATGCAGTGCAACATTTCACCCAGACTCATGGCAGCAGAATTCCCATAGTCACCCCAAATAGGGAAAGAAATGAAGAACACAACTCAAAGAAATATGTAGACGCTGGCAGAGCTCACTCACAGAACTCCAGCTCTGTACTGTTGTTAAGAAATCTGATTACTTGGAGCATAAGCCCTCACATTAGAGTGTAAATAAGTGTTGAATTTGCATATGTGTGTGTATCCAGATTTAACGCTATCCTTGACATTTTAAATTAGGTCATGCTCAGATTCCATGAAGTGAAATTAGGTAGCTAGTTCACACATACACACACACACACACACACACACACACACACGTGAATGTAGAGCCAGGAGCTACTGGCTCACTCTGTAATCCTAGCTACTCAAGAGACTGAGATCTGAGGATGGCAATTCAAAGCCAGCCTGGGCAGCAGAGATGAAGAGTCTTTTACCTCCAATTAACCAGCAGTGAAGCTATGGCTCAAGTGGTAGTGTGAAAAAGTTAAGATATAGTGCTAAGGTTCCTGAATTCAAGCCACCAATATCCACATAAAAAATCAAAACCAAACCCAGAAAGGAATGTAGAATGCCAAAGTTTCTGCTGGTGCTTAGACCTTTTGTCATATAATTACAGTATTTGTGGACATATATTTGGTATGGAAAGTGAAAAGATGTATGTGTGTGTGTGTGTGTGTTTCTGGTCCTGAGACTTGAACTCAGGGCCTGGGTCTTGTTCCTGAGATTGAGATTTTTGGTCAAGACTTGCACTCTCCCACTAATAAGCCATAGCTCCACCTATGTCTTTTTGCTAGTTAATGGGAGATACAAGTTGCATGGACTTTTCTGCCCAGGCTTGCTTTGAACCAAGATCCTCAGATCTCTCCCTCTTGAGTAGCTATGATGACAGTTGCTAGTCTGATATGGAGATATTTGTTATGGAAGTTTATATTAAATGTATTAAACCCATTGAATTGAGTAAATTAGGTAGTCTTTAGCTTCCTTTAAAGAGAGATCTTGTGAAGGCATTTTAGATCTGTCATTTTACTTCTACTTATCACTGTTTACTTGAAGCTCTGTCTCCTTACATCCCTCTCAGTGTTTTCTAGTGACGCTGACTGTGTGACGTAGAAGTTGAAGGTCAGATCACTGAGCCCTTTCCTGCACACTTGCCTGGACTTGGAACGTCCCCAGCAAGGAGCCTGTGTCTGGGGGTTCCCAGGCCTGCCTCATTTCAGGCCGGAAAGGTGGAGTTTTCCTCTCCTGGGCCAGGGGAAGGGACAGAGAAGTCCTGGGCTATGCTGGTCCTGGTATATAATGCAATCATGTCTGTTCACTTGAGTCCTTATGCAGAAAAAGAAATGCATGTTTCCAGTGTCCCTGGAGACTCTGTCCCTCACTGAATTTATGTAGTATTTACCCCATACAAACACAGGCATTTGGTCAAGCCCCGGGGAGTGGCTTAGGAGTGTGATGCCGGCCTGGAGGAGCTGTTATTTTATCACCAGCCTTCCTGTAGTGACATCAGTTTTGGAAGTCATGAATGAAGATAATGTAATCTCTTCAGTAGGCTAAAAACAACAACATTTAAGCAGAATTATAGCTTCTACAAGCCAGAAAAGTAGTGTGAATCTACTGTTAATCTCGGTAGCTGAGATTACAGGTATGTGCTGCCCAAGCTACATATCTATTTTTCATATAGGCTGGTTAATTTTTGTAATTAGTATAAAGTGGTGGACAGAGAGATGAGGAGGAGGCATGTATAGCTTTGTTTCTCCAGAAGTTGAATATTGACATGAAAAACTTGGAGGATTTCTTTTCTTTTATCTTCCTTTCTTTTCTTTCCTCCCTTCCCTTCCCTCCCCTGCCCCTTCCAATCCCTTTCCTTTCTTTTCCCTTTCTCTTTCCATTTTATTTTCTTTTCATGTCAGTCCTGGGACATGGACTCAGGGCCTGGGCACTGTCCCTTAGATTATTTTACTTAAGACTCGTGCTCCACCACTTGAGCCATACCTCCACTTCCAATTTTTCTTTCTTTCTGGTTAATTGAAGCAAAGAGTCCCATGCTGGGGACAAGCTTTGAACCGCGATCCTCAGTGTTCAGCTTCCTGAGCAGCCATTATTTGCAGATGTAAATCACTGGGGCTGTGCTGGAGGCTTTCTTCTTATGGGAACACGAGTGACTTTTCAGTTGTCAATCAGTAAACATTTCAGGAAGGAATTGTTCCTGTCTGGCCGTGTGGGCCAGCGGGTTTCATGCGGAGTGTCAGGCCATCTTGGTCCTCTCCATTGTGGAATGACTGAGTTGATCGGTAGAACTTTCTAGTACACATTGCTCAGGGATTGTTTAGAATGCGCTACTCTGGACGAGCCGAGCGGTCCTCACTGGGCTTTGTGTTTGCCCTGGTGAGGGCTGTGGAGCTTGGCTGCCTCCCGTTACCCGTGGCGGGTCTCCCGCAGCACTTCCACCCGAGTCTCACGCGGACTTCTCCTCTCGTCCCGCAGGTGGAAATCACGCTGCAGGACATCAATGACAATCCGCCGGTGTTCCCCGCAGACACGCTGGACCTGACGGTGGAGGAGAACGTGGGCGACGGCGCCAGGATCCTGCAGCTCAGCGCCATGGATGCCGATGAGGTGCGCTCCTGGAGTGTGGGGTCTCCCCGACCCGGCACCGCGTGGGGGCACAGGCCACGCGGAGACTCGCAGCTGCCAGGGTGAACCCCCGCTCCCAGAACGTTCTAGTGTGTGAGGTGACCCAGGAATGGCAAGCAGCTGCCCTCCCACCAACAGTCACGGCCCCGTCCATCGCTGCTCACGGGTCACACTCACTAGCCACACAGTTTCAAGGCCTAAAACAGGACAGCTGCCTACGAATAGACGTCTGTTTTATGGCTTTATTGTTCCGACTTGTGACCTTCTGGCAGTAAAGATTGCTTCTGTTGCCTTTGAAATTGTAGAAAAGCAGGTCACTTAACATGACGAATATCGAAGTTGGCCTTCAAATGTTATTTAATTGTCATGTGTGTATATTATGCACATGAATTTAAAAATTATTGAAGATACAGTAAGAATATTATCCAGCCAAGGTCACGATTTTTTCCAGTTCTTTACTGAACAGACATTTTATGAGTAATGGTGAATTTGAGGGCAAAATTTAGGTCATTATCTCCTACAATTATATTTTAGTGGCATGATAATGTATATAATTTGTCATTTTTTTGCCATTTTAAATACTTCAAGAGAATTTTGTGTGTGTGTGTGTGTGTGTGTGTGTGTGTGTGTGTGTGTGTGTGTGTGTGAGTACTGGGATTTAAACTCAGAGCCTAAGCTCTGTCTCTTACCTTTTTCACTCAAGGCTGGTGCTCTACCACTTGAGCCATAGCTTGACCTCTGGCTTTTTGTGGAGAAGAAAATCTCATGGAGTTTCCTATTTGGGTTGGCTTATAATTGTGATCTTTAGATCTTAGCCTCCTGAATAGGATTATAGCTGTGAGCCACCTGGCTATTTTACATTCTTTTTATTGGGTAAATTCATGTTCTGAAGTTGAGAAAAGGGGAAATGCCTTCTCAGACAGCACTAGTAACTTTGCATGACCCTCTGTAACACAAGCCTGACACAGAATAAGCAATTTCCTTTCCTCACCCTCATCTGAACTTCAGCAATAACTAAACATTTGATTTTTGTCTTCTGAGAAAACTCTTCGTAGGTTTGTTTCTTTAACTTTATAAAGGTGATCAAATAAACAGCTGTCTACTCTTAACAGCCAATTCAAAACCCTAATGACTTAGACATTACAAATTTTGCAAAATCTACCTAGTAAAAGGGAACAGAATGAAGTATATTTAAATAAATTTAGTTGTCTACTAGCATAGGTTTGATGTTTTAACTTTAATAATTTCTGTGCAATTTTATGTAAAGTTCACATTTATTCCATATGGCTATTATTGACAGTTATATGACTGAACATTTGTATTATTGATACAGGAGCTCTATCAATAATAGATCAGTAAATATAAGTATAGACTAGTAAATAGTTTCTTAAAGCTTGCCATTGTTAAAATACATTTGTTTATATCAATTTATAAAATGTCACTAATGATGACTTGCATATAACAATAATAATAAAAATCTCATTTGATGGACATAAAACAGTGCACATAAAATAATTATAATTGCAATAGTTATTTTACTGGTTCTACTCTGTAGGAAGGGAGCAGAAACTTCTCTTTACTCTATGGAATATTATAATTAGAATGGGATTATTCAATATAAGTAGCAGTAAAACTGTACTTGAAAATTTAGCTGTTTTAATTATCATGCTGTTCTCTCTCTGTCTCTCCATCTCTGTCTCTTCTTTCTCTTTCTCTTTCTCTCTCTAGGTACTAGGGCTTGAATTCCTTGTACCCTTACTTGTGTTTTTCCCTCATAGCTGGTTCTCTATCACTTGAGCCGCAACTCCACTTCTGGCTTTGTTGGTTAATTAGAGATAACAGTCCCATATTTTATCTGCCTGGGCTGATTCCGAAACTTGATCTTCTGGTATGTCTCCTGAGTGGCTAGGATTACAAGTATAAGCCAATTGTATCCTGGTAATGAAATTATTTAAAACACTAAAGTGTGGGCTGGGAAGGTGGCTCAGTGGTAGAGTGCTTGCCTTGCATGCTCAAGGCCCTGGGTTCGATTCCTCAGCACCACATAAGCAAAAAGAAAAAAAGCCGGAAGTGCCGCTGTGGCTCAAGTGGTAGAGCACTAGCCTTGAGCGGAAGAGCTGAGGGACAGCACCCAGGCCCAGAGTTCAGGCCCCACGACCGGACCCAAAAAAAACCCAAAGCGCTAAAGTTATATATGTCATCAACCAATTATCTGTTGATACCTCTTTTATTATTTATATGCTTTTCCTTAATGACTTGACATGGGGTGTTAGAGAATAACGTCTGGGTTAAGAATAAATCAGTTTCAGAAGCCACATGTATGTGTTGAACTTAATTTAAGCAGCATTTGAGGCTGGAGGCTGGCACTCACACCAGTACTTCTAAAGCTATGCAGGAAGCTGAGATGTTTAGGTTGAGGTATTAAGACTGGGGGTGGTGGGTGGGGGGAGATGGCTCAGACAAAGGCCAGAGACTCATATCTTTAGTTAGCCAGCAATAGCTGGACTAGAGGTTTGGCTAAATTGGCAGAGCATCAGAATTGAGGATAAAAGCCCTGTGAGAGATCCAGTCCCTGAATTCAAGTCCCAGTATTGGTATGCACATGTATGCACAGCACACACACACACACACACACACACACAAATACACACATATATACCCCACATGTACACCCACCCACCACATACACCACACACACACACACACCACACACACACACATACACACTCATGTATACCACACACACCACACACACATACACCATACACATATACACACACCACACACATATGTACAATACATATACATAGAGCATACACATATACACACCATAGACACTACACTCCATATATACACACCATACACACATACACATACCACACCACATATACACCACACACACACACACACACGAATACCGTTTGAACTGTGTTGAATCAAGCAGTTCTTAGATATTTGCTTCTAAAAACTCCTTCTTGGTGTGTGTGAGTGTGTCTCCTCTGGAGAGTAAAATGTTTCTCTTCAGTATTATTTTCACTGCAGCTGACACATCATATTTATTTCTTGGGCTGCAGATATAGCAAGCTCAGTGTATTTAATAAATAGACTTTTCAAAAGTTCTAATGAAATCATTACTCTTGGCAACACATTTTGTTACATTCACCCGGGGTACTAATTCACCACCTCAGCCGATTTTGAATATGAAAAAATGGCTTTCTAAAAAATCAGTGCAGTCTTATGCTTTTCTTCTTTGCACAATTGTCATAACTTTCAAATTGGACCTTTGAAAATATCAAAGAAGTTCTGTAATATTTCAAATTTTTGTTTCTTTGCTTTCTCCCAATTTCCAAGGCTGTCTCATGTGAACAGATAAAAATTGAATATAACATCCATCATACCTGAGCTTTGCTAGAATATTCTAATAATAATAATAATATTCCTAGCAGATTAAAATAGTAGATACTAGGAATTGCAAATTGATGTTGGATGGTTTTGTTAAGCCATAAAATTACAATAAAAATGTTAGAGAGTCATGTACACCTGAGTATACAAGATAAACGTGGGCAGTGTGTTAAAGTCAGCTATTTCATTATTAAATTAAAATAGTTGGGAGGCTTTCACTTTATTAAATTTAAAAATTGGCTTTGAGAAAGCAGAATAAAAAGATTGCAAATGTCACTCCTTATAAATTTGAAAGAAGGAGTATTTTTGCCTTGGACTATTAGAAATCATTCCCTTATGTACTTGAACATAAAAGAAACAAAAAGGACAAGTGATGGGTGATAGCAAAGCCCTGAAGTTGTGGATGTGTTAATCCAGCATAATTAGTCTTTTGAGATTTACTATTCTGAGTGCATTAATAAACTTCTCTAAGCTAATCATGGAAAAAGTACAAACGTGGCTTAGATAAAATATAGTTATATCAAAAGGCAATTTCTCAAGTCTAAAGCTCCAAAATTACTTGGACCTCAATGTCAAGATCAATAATTTATAAGTGAAACTGGAGTTTGTAGCCTCAGTCCAGGACCCTGATGGTCAGGCCTAGCCCCTGGCCTCCTACAGGCCAAATCAAGAGGCCTAGTGACAGGCAGAGATTTACTACATGGCAGCTGTAAGAAGAAAGCATTTTAGTATATCTTCAGCTATCTTCAGGAAAAATACACCCACTTGAACAGACATGGAAGGTGGGGGGGGCAGGGAGTGAGTGATGGGAGCAGTGAAGAGTCTTCCCTTGACAGGCAGGGCCTGGCTGTCACCTCAGCTCTTGTATGGGGAAGGCTCCCACAGGAGATGTTACAATCAGAATACATACGTGATTATTGCCGGTGATCTGTCCTGTGGGGGCTTGATGCCCTCTTAGCAGTAGTTCAAATCCCCCTTAAAGATGTGATTGATCAGCGATAAGTTCTGCCCTTTCAAGATGATTGCAAAGTGACTGTGGAGAGAATGGCTCAGGAGTCTGCACACAGGTACAAAAGGAGGCACCTGGGGTGTGGAGTCATTATCCTGCTGCTGGTTAATTTGTGGGCCCATGCCAGGAGTCAGTGCTTCTCAGTAGAAAGTAGTTGTTAAAGGGCTTCTTATAACTGGGTACCCTAAAACCATATTTTCCTAGGGATTCAAGGAAGCTCTTACCTTATTCTCATTTGGAAGCTGTCAAGTGTTTCTCTTCTAAGAATAATAGTAAAAAGTTAAAATAGCTCTATACTCTCTCTTGAAGGCTTTTTGAATATATATATATATATATATATGTATCTATATAATTTTTTTGCCGGTCCTGGGGCTTGCACTCAGGGCTTGGGCACTGTCCCTGAGCTTCTTTTGCTCAAGGCTACCACTCTACCACTTGAGTCACGGTGCCACTTCTGGCCTTTTCTGTTTATGTGGTACTGAGGCATTGAACCCAGGACTTCATGCATGCTAGGCAAGCACTCTACCACCAAGCCATATTCTCAGCCCCTCAATGTAAGTTTTTAGCATGCATTAATTAAATCTTAACTACAACCCTATTTGGTTTTAATCAAGGAACATCGGTAAAACCTATATCCAAAAGCCATAGAAGTAATTAATGGAATAGTCTACCCTAAAAATAAGGCCCACAAGATTATATTTCAACCAACACAGTGAATGTTTAATTTTAGTCATAATTTACATACATGATGCCTATATTTAGTTGTTTTGCAATTACAAGAAGAAAGTGGTTTGTTGCTGAGTGCCTATAATCCTAGCTACTCAGGAGCCTGAGAACTGAGGATCATGGTTGAAAGCCAGCCCAGGTAGAAAAGTCTGAGATTCTTGGGTCCATTTTACCGGCAAAAAGCCAGAAGTAGAGATGTGGATCAAGTGATAGGGCCCCAGCAAACAAAGCCAAATGGGATTGCAACTCTGAGTTCAAGCTCCAGTACTGGTAGAGAGAGACAGACAGAGAGAGAGACAGAGACAGAGACAGAGAGAGCGAATGAAAGAAATTTAATATTCTAAAACATGGTGAAGTTACTGTCCTTCATGACCAAATCCACATGGTTTTCTAATTCTATTTTTCCCTAGTTTCTTTATCATTGCTAAATCTGAGGGCACTCTGAGCCTTCTGGTACCTCCTTTGAGGCTATTTCCTTGGTCACCCTTCCTGCATCTTTCTCTGTTTCTGCGTCTCCCATTCTTCAAATATCAATAATAATCTTCATGCTTAGGTCATTTCTTGCCTTTTCTCTTTATTTACATTTTCTTTTCTTTTTTTGGGGGGGGGTCCGGTCATGGGGCCTGAACTCTGGGCCTGGGCGCTGTCCCTCAGCTCTTCAGCTCAAGGCTAGTGCTCTACCACTTGAGCCACAGCGCCACTTCCAGCTTTTTTCTTTTTGCTTATGTGGTGCTGAGGAATCGAACCCAGGGCCTCATGCATGCAAGGCAAGTGCTCTATCACTGAGCCACCTTCTCAGCCCCTTTATTTACATTTTCAGTAACACTTGTGAATGGAGCAGACACCTCTATACACACCTTCAGATAATTTTCTCAAGTTACCGTCCCACATCTGAAATTTCTAGACAGTCATTTCTTTGGCATTGTCCTTCAAACACAGAACAGATAGCAGATAAAATTTTCCTTGGTAATTTCTTTTGTATCCAAGCACATCCTTCTTCTCTGTGGTCCTCAATAAGTATCTTCTCCAAATTCCTGACATAGTAATTCCAAACATAAATGGTTCCTTTCTTTGCTTTCACTTAGTCATACCTGATTGTTCAAGAATATGTGTGAAAATCTACACATATGATTATTACAGTTACTTCTGTATCTAATTATGTTTTAGTGTTACCAATTTGTCCTCTGACTCCTGCTGGTTCACACAGATTCATATTCTGAATTCCAAAGGGACAGAGCCAGGATTTGATCCCTGCATCTAAGTCACTTACCATCAAGATGGCCATGGAAATGATGTTTAGCTCACTGAGAGCCTGGAAGGTTAAATTCATTAATCCCCTTGAAGTGATGTAATCAGGCAGGTCTAGAACTCAAGGAAACTCCTAATGAATGCTCTGTGACCTTTCTCCTCCCTCTATAGCCTTTCTTGCTTGTAGCTTGTAGTTTTGGGGCTCATATCTCAAGGACCTGGGAAAATGGAAGAACTTACCTCTGTTTTCATCCCACAGAATAGGGGCTTATAATCTGTTTCTTTCATGCACTTTGGGATTACAGAGCCCCAAATCTCTTTTAGATACAAGTTCTGCTCATCACCTCTTTCCTCTAGCTCCTATGAAGTCAATAATAATGATAGTCTTAAAAGCTTACTTCCAGCTAAAATGTTATGAAGGTTTTGTGTCTGCGGCATGCAAGCCATTTGGGTTACATTTGAGATTTTGCAGAATATTTCCATAATTTAATAGTTTAGTTTGATTTCTTGTCATGGATTAAAAATCTGCACTAAAAGCACATCAAAGTAAGAAAACCAAGCACCTCTCTCTGCACATTCATGCATACCGGACTCATTCTCCATAGTCTACAGTGACCAGAAAGTCCCTTCTACAAAACCCAAACACCTCTTCATTCCATTAGATTCCCTAAAGTAAATAACTCAGCATGACCTCTCTCTTAGCTACTTCCTTCCCTGCCCATCTAAGACTCTCCATTTGTCCAGCAGGTTAATTTCCCTTTCCTGAGTACACATGATGACTTTGGCAGGTATAGGCTTGAAATCCATACACTTGGAGTAGGATTGTGTGTAATTATCTAGTGTCTCAATTGTAAAAGGAATCTACTGGGGGTGTGAATGCTCATGTCCCTGACTTTCTTCTGCTTGTCCAGAGACAACCATAGTATGTGTGTGTGTGTGTGTGTGTGTGTGTGTGTTGTGCCAGTTATAGGCTTGAACTCAGGGCCTCCTGCTTTCACTTTCCTTTTTCACTCAAGGCTGGAACTCTACCACTTGAGCCACACCTCTACTTCCACATTTTTGCTGGCTAATTGGAGATAAGAATCTCATAGTCTTTTCTACCTGGGTTAACCTTGAACCTTGATTCCCAAATCTCAGCCTCTCAAGTGGCTAGGATTACTGGTGTCAGCCACAAACAACCAACTTCTGTTGGCCTATTCTATACCTTGTTTGGAAAAATGTCTATTTGAGCCCACTTCCTTTTGTAATTAGATTGTTAGATTTTTATTTCTTGCTCATATAGTTTAGAAATTAACCTTTTATCAGATAAATCAACTTTAAAAATACTACCCTCATTCCATGATTTACCTTTTAATTTTCTTTGCTTTTTACATTGCAGAAACTTTGTATCTTGCTGTTGTCACTTGTCTCTTCTTTGTTTTTGTTGCCTGTGCTGGTCAGAGCCATGAAATCACTGCCAAGTCCCCCGTGGCTGGGGAAGCAGGCTTTCTCTTATTTTTCCTGCTAGAGTATATAGTTTCAGGTCTTCTATTGAATTGTTTAAGCCATTTGGAATTGATTTTTATGTTAACATTTTTATACGTATATATATATTTTAACTAACTCTTTTTGGAAAGACTATTTCTTAGCCACTGTGCATTCTTAGCATCCTTGTCAAAGCTCAGTTGACTTTTAGGCATGAGTTTATTTCTTGGCTTTCTAGTCAGCTCGATTGGTGGAACTATCTGACTTGATGCTGGTATTATATTGTTTTAATTTGTGTCTATTTTGAAATCAATAACTGATTTTAAAATCCTTAGAATTCTTTTTTCTTTCTGAACATTGTTCCATCTACTTTGAAGTCTTTTTTTACTCCATATGAATTAAAAATTCTCATCACTATTAAAGATGCCTTTCAAGCCAAGTGCCACTTATTCACATTTACGTAAAGTTACTCTGAGAATCATAGTTCGAAGCCAGCCAAGGTAGCCATGGCTGTGAGACTCTTATCTCCAATTAACCAGCAAAAAGCTACACGTGGAAATGTGGTTAAAGTGGCAGAGCATTAGCCTTGAGGCAAAAAAAGCTAAATGAGAGCTGGAGACAGCAAATTCAAGTCCAAGCACCACACACACACACACACACACACACACACACATACACGTGGACACACATATACCATTAGCATTTTGAAAAGGATTGAAATGAATTTGTAGGTTCCTTTGGGTACTATAAACATTTTAACAACATTATGTTACAAATATATTTCTATTTCTTTGATTCTTTTGTAATTTCTTTCATTGGTGTTTATAAATTTTCAGTGTACAAACTGGCATGTTCTTTAAGTTTTCCTTTTGAAGTCTGATTATATCCTATGAAATGAAAGCCTCAACCTCACTTGGTCAACAATATGGTAGAGGAAATGAGAGAAACAATGGTCCAACTGTTCTGCTTCTCCTGATCAGATGCCTGGTGTTTTTGTTTTGTTTTGTTTTGTTTTTGGCCATAGGGTGCCAATGCTGTGGTCACATATGCTATTATTAGTGGAGCTGATGATAGCTTCCGACTCGACCCTGAATCTGGAGACCTCATAGCCACCAAGAGGCTGGACAGGGAGCGCCGTTCCAAGTACTCCCTGCTGGTGCGAGCTGATGATGGGCTGCAGTCCTCAGACATGAGGATCAATATCACCATCAGCGACGTGAATGACCACACGCCCAAGTTCTCCCGGCCTGTGTATTCTTTTGACATCCCAGAAGACACTAGTCCTGGTAGGTGACCTGCCTGTCCTTCAGGCCACTTTGTTAACAGTTTTCTTTGGCGACAATCATGGGACGTACTAATTAGTAACTAGTCTTATTACATTCTACCAGTTATTATATATGTACATAATGTATTACATATATACCAGTTGCTTTACATATATTACATATATCAATGACTATACTTAATATATCACATATATCTGTAATACTATTTATATATATTATATGTTGAATTTTTGAATCTTTTAATTAACTTTTTTTGGTGAAATTAGTGAACAAATTGCTAGGTTCTGGGGAGGGGTTGTTTGAGAGCAAATGAGGTTAACATTTATCTGATTACTAATTATGGTATTTCTGTCCCTAGAAATATTTGTTAGGGTTTTGAGTAACCTGTCTTGATACCCTTAATTTCAGTTCTTAAAACTGATATGATTGTGTTCCTATGTATAGAAATAGCAAATTATGTGGAAGCTCATTTCTGAATTACCAGGAATCAACTGTAGCTGAGTGGCTAAGGGCAAATGGATTAACTTATCATGGCTTGACACACTTGCACTGTTAAAAGCAATCAATAATCCTGGTATAAGCATTTCTTTAGTTTGCTTGCCTGCGGCTCAAGATAAACAAGTAGTCAAGAAATGTTCTTGGACTCTCACTTGTAACATATTGTACTGTTATTGTACAGTCTGAGAACTTAGTATCCTTGTTTCCTGTGTGTGTGTGCGTGTGTGTGTGTGTGTGTGTGTGTGTGTGTGCGTGCACGCGCACACCTTGGTACCATAACAATAGAGTAGAAAATCTTATCTAAATTTTGAAATATTATTTTGATTTACCTTCGGAATGAGTTTGCATGTTAAGGTATAGGTTTTTGACATTCCATTGACAAAGAAATTGAGCACAGAGAAAACTCTTTTACCCTTGGAATTGTCCATTTGTTTCCAAAAATGAGTTGCTCATGTCTTGTCTGAATTATAACAATAACAAGAGAAATTTTGTGCAATCTGCTCAGCATTTACCTGCATTATTGTGTGAAATCTACAGTTTCTTACAGGACTATTAAGCTTCAATATACAGACACTGAATCAATTTTTAAGTTTGTAAATTGGTAGTGTCAATGAAGAGAGGAAGAGTGTGCAAATGCAATCACAATATTCAGGGTACACATGTGAGCATGGAGCCAGGTGACTTGAGGGGAGGGGTGAAGGTGAGAGAGATGGGGGAGAAGATGGAAGGGAGACATTGGTCAAGATTCATTGTACTCACAAACTGATATGTTGAACTAAAATCCCTTTGTACAACTACTTAATGATCATTAAAAGATTAAAAACAATTGGTAGTGCCCAGTGGAAAACAGAAGTAGGATTCATTCTAAAAGACATTTATGGGAAAATCCCAGCCACAGGGTATCTCATCTGATACAGGTTTCTCAGATATGTGGAAAGGCTGGTGTGGATGACAGTGTGGAATTCTGTAGTACTGTGTGAACAGCATCTTCACAGGGTATCTTTCCAATGACTCCATATATTCAGTTAGTCATTTCTCAATTACCCTTGCTCTGTTAATTTTAGACCATTCATTTATTCTTCTCAACAGGTTCCTTGGTAGCAGCTATTTTAGCTACTGATGATGACTCCGGTGTGAATGGAGAAATTACATACATTGTGAATGAAGATGATGAAGATGGCATATTTTTTCTGAACCCTGTTACTGGAGTCTTCAATTTGACCAGAGTATTAGATTATGAAGCACAGCAATATTACATCCTCAGTGTTCGTGCGGAAGATGGTGGGGGACAATTTGCTACTGTCAGAGTTTACTTCAACATACTTGATGTCAATGATAACCCACCCGTCTTTAGCCTCAGTTCATACAGCACCTCCTTGATGGAGAATCTGCCTCCAGGCTCTACTGTCCTGGTGTTTAACGTTACCGATGCAGATGATGGTATGTGATTTATTAAGTATGGCCTAAAAACGTCAACAAAACCTGGTACATATATGTTCATAATATATATTCATATACATATAGGTGTACATAGATACATATATATATACTGAATATATACATATATGTATGTATATATGTACATATAATGTAATAGTGCAATTATATGATATATCATATATTATTATGCTATATAAATATATCTTAATATTAATGATCTATGCAATATATCATATTGTACAATAATATAACAATAGAGGATTTGATTAATAATAATTTATGATTAATTACATATTTATTTTTTGTTGCTGGACTGAAGCTTGAACTTAGGGCTTCCTGCTCTTGCTTAGCTTTTCTGTTCAAAGCTAGTGCTCTTCTACTTGAGCCATAACTTCCTTCCAGCTTTTTGTTGGTTCATTGGTGATAGGAGTCTCATGGATTTGTGCGCTTAAGCTGGCTTTGAACCATGATCCTCAGATCTCACCCTCCTAACTAGTTTATAATCATATGTATGAGCCACCATTGCCCAGAGGTTTGTGTTATATTTAAGTATTTATATATTTATCTATATGTTTATTTGCCCTAATTATTCTATGGGCACACACACACACACACACACATATACACACATAAAATGGGGGAGAAGTGGTATTATAATTTAACTATAAAGAACTTTAAATCTAAATAATTTTAATATTTTCTAATAATGTTACACCATAACCATGTGTATCAATTTTCCAATGTCATATTTTGTTTTCACACTGAATCTATGGCAAAATATTACAAGTTAGTAAAGTAGAAGTCATAAAATAAATTTTTGGTAAATTTCACTTACATAAATAAAATTATTTATGCTTGCATAGATTATTTAAACTGGAAAAGAATAAAACTAGGAAGCAAAAGGAAACCATGGGTGTGAGGGCTTGGCTCAAGTTGTAAAACATACATAAGTGGTATTTGGTCTTGGGTACTGGGGATTGAACTCATAGCCTTGCACTTGCTAGGTAAGTGCTCTACCACTAGAGTGAACCTCCACCCTAAATTATATAGTATTAATACAAAATTATAGTAATACTTTATGTAGAAGAGAGGCTTCAGATCATTTAACTTATGATTTATAAAATGCATAAAATCAAGAAAATTATCTGTACACACATTTGATGTGTACTTATTGCCAGAGCACTTGTGACACTTAGTTTTTTTTTTTTAAACACTTTTCTCCCTTAACCTTTCTTCTATAACCTATTTTATAAATGCACGTGTTTGGTACTATAGCATTATTGATGCCAATATTGCATAGATTATCAGTGTCTCACTGAATTATTCAGAGGGTTAGTTAGCATATCTTGTTTTCCTTCCCATTGGATCCAGTCCATAAAACAAAGCACAGGACTTTAGAGAGGAAATCTATCTCTAGTCTGAGCATCTGGATCCTGAACTTGGCACACCAACCGTAACTTTAGAATTTCCTGGTTCTTACTGATGTAGATGATTTGTATAATCGACCTCAATGTTCATTCTTCCCTATTCTTAGTTCTCCTTCCGGGGCGTATAGAAATATCACGTAGGAAGATATTGAGGTAAAAGACATATTTGATGTATATTTTAATAAACAGAATTGGGGTTGCTTTTCTTTAGAATTCTTTTGACTGAGTACATTTTGAGATCTACTCCTTTTATCCAAACATAGGGTAGAATCAGGCACCTGAATATATGTGAAACAGATGTAGCTCTAACATAATGATTATTATAATCCTTGGTAGTAAAAACATAATAAGTATGGCCTGGCACCAATGGGTTATATACCTTTAATCCTAGCTGCTCAGGAGGCTGTATTCAAGGACTGCCTGGGCAGGAAAGTCTGTGAGAGTCTTATCTCCAATTAACCAGAAAAACCCTGGAGTAGAGCTGTGGGCCAAATGGTAGAGTGCTAGCCTTGGGCAAAAAGTTCTCAGGGACAGAGCTCAGGTCTTGAGTTCAAGCCCCAGGACTAACACACACACACACACACACACACACACACGCACACACACACACACACACACACACACACACACACAAAGATGATACTTGGTATTTCTAAAATGTGCAGGTTGGCTCCAGTTAGAACGCTTATGCACAGTTGATACTAATGTTTAATTTGGATTATTTCTCCCTGTTATCATAACCTTTGTTTATCTTCTCTGTTCCCAGATCATGAATATTTACAACACTATATATTTGTATAATTCTATGGTGAGAGTTTTCCATTCTAGTCAGAGATCCTTATGTTTCAAAGCATTGTCTCTATTTTCAAATACATTCCGTTTAGACTCATAACTTAAAATGCAGGGCAACTGGGAAAAGAGAAGGAAAAGCATGCTTTGGAATATTCCACACACATGTAACTACAAGCATATATTAATGGCTGACTCCAAAACATTTTAAAATGGATTTTTCCCCTTTAATTGTGTTGCATAAATGTTTTAAGCTACATTTACCCATTGTTTTCATTTTGAATGCTTTTATCAGGGTAATTTCCTGTACCTTGACCTAAAATATAGGACATAGTTCTTACTTTTTTGATCTTTAAGGATAATGATAAGAACAAACTTGTTTATAAAATTACCAACACAGTGACACTCAATTCTCTAGTTATCCCACAATAATATTAGTTAGATATTTCAATATTAATAAATTAATCTTAAGCACCGATTCAAGGGTTCATAGTGAGGGGGCATACTGACCTTCTAGATAAAAAATTCAGTATTAAGATAAGTCTAACATATTAAATAGATTCTTTCTGTAGAGATTTGGAGTGTAGCATTTATTGTTATACCATCATTTCATAAGTCTAAGGCAAATCCTTTATGAGTTTCATAAATAGATAATTAGTATCTCGAAGCTTCTCTGTATGTAGTTTAAAAAGTACATTGGGGAAAATTACTAGAAATTAGAGCCTCATAAAAATATCCAGGGTTGATATTATCTTAAGACTGCTTCTTGTAATAATAATAATGCTAATATGTCTGAATAATTGTATCCTGCATGCTTAGAGGAGGAAGGGAGTTCATCTTTTAGGGTTCCAATGGCCCGGGAGCTGCTTCATCATAACTAGTTCTGTGGACACATACCAATTTTTACACACATATTAAGGCAATATTTGTAGTTATGAATACATATATACTTCATAATATAAAGTTATGTATCTGTAGTTCTTAAGTGCATTTTATCATCTACATTATGTATTTATGTACATATATCATTTATTTCATCTATTATCTGTTAATGCACTTATTTATTCTTTGTTCTGGTAGTAGGGCTTGTACTCAGAATATCTTAGTCTTGTTTAGTTTTCTCTGTTCAAGGCTGATGGTTTACCACGTAAACCATACTTCCACATCTTTTTTTCTCTTTCATCATTATTGTTATTTTGGGTAAACTGGACAAGAATAAGGACTTTTCTACTCAGGCTGGCTTCTAACCTTTGATCTTGGCCTCCTGAGCAGCTAGGATTACAGGTATGAGTCAGTGATGTTAGGCTGTTTGTGTATTTTATGTATTATGCTCCTTAGATCTGAACTATTACTCAAATATAAATGAGTATATGTATACATGTACCTACACAGCAATACACAGGCATACACACACACACACACACACACACACACACACACACATAGCGTTAAAACTAAGTCAGGGACCTAAATGCTTTTCAGAAAATTGAATACAAATGGTTTGAAATGCAACCTCTTTTCAGTTGAAAGATCTGGTGGACCATAAAAACCCACTGTATTCAAGTTTCAACATTTTGGGGTCAAATTTAAAAGTTAAAAACAAATGCATTTATTGTTTTATGGTTCAGATCTTGGATGCAAAAATCAAGGATAAAATAAAAAGATCAAGGCTTTATTTTCTTTATAGACCACAAATGTTAAGGGAGAATTTTGAATTTTAATTTATCTATGGACATTTTTTGATGGGGAACACACTGCTGAAGTTCCTTATTTGACTTGCCAAGAATACAATGCCCTTTTCTTTAAAACAAAATAAATCTAGCAAGTTTCCATAGTCTGTAATTTCTAAAATTTATTTCCTGATGGATGAACTGCTTCTTCGTGTTGCAGGATTCTCTGCAAAGTATTGGGCTATTTATGTTGGTTTTTCGGTGCTAATTGTAATCATTTGTTCATTTATCATTCTGAATTAAATTTATAATCAGTTTCATTTTCATAATTCAAGTAGAAGTTGTGTATTTATTGCTTCCCTTACTAACACATACCAGCACCCATTTCCCTCTTTTAGAAGGGATTGCTCTGCCATTTACGATTAGGCTATAAAATCTCAGTATCGTATTCTTTGCTTGCTGCAGTTTAGCTGTTGACTTAAGGAGGCCGCAGCCCTGTAGGCCCAGGATTCAGACCTATGGTTTAATGACTCAGATTGCTATAGATTTATGTAGCCTTTTATAACTAGGCAAAATGTCGTGGGTATATCTAACATCTTTGTATCTTAGATATGAAAAAGTCTCATGTTTTCAGAGAACTAATTTTTTAAAATCTTTTCTCCTCAGTGTTATTTGTAGTGTTTTTTATAATGTTTTAAATAATAATCACATGTGAGTTTGGGTTTCAAGAGAGCAGGGAGCTCAAAGTGTGTTGCTGGGCTTTCTTTGACAATGTCTTTGAAAAGCCATTGAAAGTAACTAGATTCTTTAATATTCCCCCATCCACCCACAAACATAGAATCATATTTGATACTTTCTATATTGATGTATTTGAAACTTGATTTCCCAAACCTGTGGTATTTATGACAAGGAATGATGCTGGTGTTGATCTTGTTTTATTGGATCTTACTATTTTTCTCCTGCTTCTAGGTTGACCTTTGTCCTCAATATTTATCCGTGATTTTTTTCTGATTCTAATGTTTTATTAACATGGCAGTGGTTTTAAGTTGTAAGTATTAAAGGCCACAATTCATACTGAGTGGAATAACTACTTTTCTGAAGATCTACATAACCAGTGCTTACTCAAGAAATTCTGTGTCACTAAACCAGTGCCTAAAAGTTATCTTCTGAATATTTTTCCTACATGTCATCCTATAGAAATAGGACAGTAAGTAGAGACAATGAAATTACAGGAAAAGAGTAATATGGCTTTATTTTTTTAAGCGTAAAAATGAGAGAGACAAAGACAGAAAGAGAGGCATAGAAAGAGAAATGGAGAGATAAATGGAAAGAGGGAAATAGAGGGAATAAGGATTGGAGTGAGATGGAGAGAGAGAATGGAGAGAAAGGAAATTGGTGAGATCCAAGGAAAAGGCAAAAGTTAACTCTTGTATCCATAGAATACTGAGGAGGAGTGGGGGCAGAAAAGGAGGAGGAAAGAAAGGTGGCAAGGAGAGAAAAGAAATAAGAAAAAGTGAGAGAGGCGAGAGGGGAAAGAGGAAAATAAATAAAGAGAAAAATAAAGAGAAATTGACAGATTGAGAAAAAGAAAGGGAGAGAAAAGGGGAGAGAGGAGAGAAGGAAGAGAAGACAGAGAGAAAAATCCAAACTAGGAGAAAAAAGAGAGAGAAGACAGACAGAGAAGGCAGGAAGAGAGAGAAAGATTAAGATAGAGAGATAAGAGAGACAGTGATTGAGAGAAAGGAGGGAAGAGAAAAGAGAGTTATGAGAAAGGAACAAGAGAAAGAGGGGAGAAGAGAGAGGAAAAAAGAGGAGAAAGAAAGAGGGAGAGAGGACAGAGACAAAGAAGATAGAGGAGGGAGAGAGAAAAGACTTAGTGAAATGGGAAAGAGGAGAGAGAAGAGAGAAACAGAGAAGTTGGGCAATGAGATAGATTGTTCTATAAGGCCCTTGGTAAAGCATGAGTATCATTCTCAAAGATGGAATTTGGAAACTGAAGTATCTGAAATTAACTTCAGCAATATTGGAGCTATTTATTTATAACCAATTCATATGACTCTATAGGCATTCCCTAGCACCAGAATTAAACATTTTTGTTAGAATAATCCATAAAAATGCCAGTGGCATTGTGGGGTTATGAATAAAACACTTCTTCTCTGCCTATTTTTACTAACTTCCTGTCCAATGGCTTACTAAAACCACCAGGGGAGACAGTTTCTACATAAGCATAAGAATTTTTACAATCATTAAAAAAATGAGAATTTAATTATTTTTTTAACTTAGAAAGTGTCATCGATTCTTAGGGGATAAAAGATATTTCCTAACTATAGCCCAATTATGGCACGGACAGCTATATTTGGAGACTTTCGTGTATAATTTTACTATTAACAATTCTTTGAAGGAGTGCTTTTTAAAAACTTAGTATATGTGTAATAAAAGTTGAGAGGGTTATTTTTCTCAAAGGCCATTACTTAGCCAGATGCTTCTTAGGAATTAAAAAGTATTTATTGGTTCTGACAAGAAATGTAAAAGTAGACTTAGTGCCCCCATGACTAATGTGACACATCGGAACGTTTTATTACTCTTCTCTGAAAATTCATGTCAGCCTCAATAAATTACTGATGTTATAAATGTTTGGCTAATAATACAGTGTGTGGCATGGTTCATGTTAGACCAGGAGGATCTGTGATAGCAACAGAAAAAAATAAGCATAGACAATATCTGTCTCCTGCAATACTTGTCTCCTCTTTGCTTTCATATTTTAACATTTTGATGGTGGAGTAAATAACAAGTTGTAGGTCATTGGTTCTCTAGATTGTAAACATCTTTTCAGATCAAAAGTTACCAGGAAAAATTAGTGTCTGTAGTTTAGTTTTTATTTTTCTTCTGTGCTGATTGTGCGGATTGAATTCAAGGTCTGGACATGGTCCCTGAGTGTTATTTTTTTGCTCAAGGAGAGTGCTCTATCATTTCAGCCACATGTTCACTTCTTGCTTTTTGTGGTTCATTGGAGATAAGAGCCTCATAAACTTTCCTGCTCAGGCTGGACTTGAACTGGAATCCTCAGTTCTCAGCCTCCTGAGTAGCTAGGATTACAGATATATATTTATATATGAGCCACAAGCTCTCAGCTAGTGCTATATTATTATTCATGAAGGAAGTACAATTATGTAGCCAAAAGTGTGTTTAGACACACGGCATCATTAAACATAAGGGCTTGTCAGCATTTTGGGTGTTAATTCTGTCATCGGAATGTGTCTGATTTTCCTTCCCCTTTAATTCCCAGGTATCAACTCTCAATTGGCTTATAGCATTGCTTCGGGCGATAGCCTTGGGCAGTTCACAGTGGACAAGGACGGGGCGTTGAAAGTCCTGAAAGCCTTGGACAGAGAAAGTCAGTCTTTCTACAACTTGGTGGTGCAGGCGCATGACCTGCCCACACCCCCGGCCCCCAGGTTCACCAGCACTGCACACGTCTCCATCATTCTGCTGGACGTGAACGACAACCCGCCGGCGTTCCTCTCGCCGAAGCTGGCGTACGTCCCGGAGAACACCCCCCTGGACACCGTGGTGTTCACAGCGCAGGCCGCAGACCCGGACAGCGGCCCCAACAGTTACATCGAGTATGCGCTGCTGAATCCCGCGGGAAGGCCATTCAGCATCGGGACCATCGACGGCCAGGTGCGGCTGGCTGCGGAGCTGGACCGAGAGGCCGCCTCGAACTACACGCTGACCGTGGTGGCCACAGACAAAGGGCAGCCGCCGCGGTCCGCATCCACTGAGGTGGCGGTCACCGTGCTGGACGTGAACGACAACAGCCCAGCGTTCGTGCACGCGGCGCACGCGGTGGAGATCAGCGAGGACACGCTCACGGGCACCGACATCCTGCAGCTCTTTGCCTCCGACGCCGACGAGGGCCCCAACGGGCAGGTGCGCTACAGCATCGTGGATGGGAATGCCCACCAGGACTTCCGCATCGACTCGGTCACCGGTGCCATCACAGTGGCCAGGCCCCTGGACAGAGAGCGGATCCCCGTGTACCTCCTGACCGTCCAGGCCACGGATCGGGGCAGCACCCCCCGATCTGACACCTCCACCGTCAGGGTGGTGTTACTGGACGTTAATGACTTCATTCCCACATTCGAGCTGTCTCCTTACTCCGTCCATGTCCCCGAAAATCTGGGGACACTTCCCAGAACCATTCTTCAGGTGAGTGGTAAGGTAGCTCGTGGACAAACTCCTTCTCCTCACGCCCCTGGATAATGTGAATACAGCTCATCTCGCAAAGGGCAGTCTGCTATCATCTAAAGCATACTGATTTCTTTTTATAGATTAAACATTGCATTTCAGCTGTGTTCCTTTGTGTGCAATTATATTATGTGTACTTATGCCTGTGTGTATTGTAAACTTTTGTTTCACCATGGAAATGATCTCTGCATTCTATTTACATAAAATGATGTCAGGGTTTGAAAAAATGGTCATAAGTATTGCCCATAAATATTTATTTTGTGAGCAATCTCTCCCTGAAACTGCTATGAAAATGCAGTTTTCATGAAACTTCCAGAAAGACTACACATCTGTTTTATGCAAAATTTTTGTGTACATCTGTGTGCATGGCACATCCTCTCTTTTTTTTTGGCATTTTTATTTTGCGCTTTAAGGGATATTTTGGAAATTGTGTTAAGACATTTCATCCTCATCATCTTTTGGATGTTGTATTTCATTTCACGGTAGTCCTCAGAACTTGTTTACTCTCATCCATCATGTGTATCATGCTGTTTTACAGGTGGTGGCAACAGATCATGACCAGGGACAAAACAGCAAACTCTCCTATGTTCTGTGTGGCGGTAACGAAGAGCAGGCCTTCACACTTTCAGCCAGTGGAGAACTAAGAGTGATCCAGAGCTTGGATAGGGAGACAAAGGAACATTTTGTTTTGTTAATTTCAGCTACAGATTCAGGTAAGTGTAAGTGCGTTACAACTTTGTTAAGTGGTTTGAATAATTCCTTTCCTACTCTATGAAAATATTATTATTATTTCTACTATTACTACTATTATTTTTATTGGTACAAGTCCTGGGACCTGAACTCAGGGCCTAAAAGTTTTCTTTGAGGTTTTTTGTTTTTTGTTTTGCTTTTTGCCCCTTAAGGTTAACTTTGTAGCTCTTGAGCCACACCTTCACTTCCAACTTTTTGGTGATTATTTGGAGATAAAAGTCTTGCAAGCTTCCCTGTCCTGGCGTGCTTTTAACCAAGATCCTCACATAAGCCTCCTGAATAGCTGAGTGAGCCACCAGAGCCAGGCCAACTTCTGTATTATTAAATGTTGGGTTTTATTAAAAGCCTACATCTCAGTAGGTGAGTTAGTAGCATGTAGCTCCACAATTAGTAGCATGTAAATTGTCCAGTGAAATGTATGTGTAAGTGGTGAGAGCTTCAATGCATCACAAGCAAAACTCTGTCTCTGTAAAAGAAACAGAGTCTGGCCCTGTGCATCACCAGAGGGCCCAGTGCTCGAGCACCTGAGTCGGGAGCTCTGAAGACATCTAGATGGTGCATGTGGACAGGTCACTGAGACAAGACCGTGGGAACAGTTTTTGCATCACTAATCCTCTAGACTCCACAGCATTGAACTAGCTTTGCTGGAAGCCCCATGGGGTATCCGTACGAGCAGGTGCAGCAGCTTTGCTGTGCAATGTGCAATGGGCCCTAGGAAATGAAAAGCCATGTGTGGCAGCTTTCAGTGCTTGCAGAGAGTTGTTACATATAATTGTGTATTGAGTGATTTTTAAAAAAAATCTTATTTTTCCCCTTAAAATTTTGGAGCTGATTTTTTCTTAATTTTTTAACATGAAAATTTAATTTAATTTTTAATTAAAACTTTTTAAATTAAAACATTTTTATTTATATATGAATTGTACAAATAGGTGTGGTTATAACATTTTCACATTTACATGGGGTTTTGAGGTGTTTTTTGTGTTTTGTTTTGCTTTTTATTTTGTCCCAGTACTGGGTCTTGAACTCAAGGCCTCACACATTGGCTTAGCTTTTTCCAATTGAGACTGAGGGTGGAGAGATATATAATCATAATTAAGAAAATTGAGGGGAGGGGCTGGGTTGGAGGGATTGGGGGAGAATGATGGAAGCAGTAACATTGGTCAGTATGTATTTATTCATAAACTGATGTGTTGACTGGTAACTCCTTTGTACAGCTATTTAAAGGTAATAAAAATCTAATAAAGAAAAATAAAGTCTGGTGCTCTATCACTTGAGCCACTCCTCCACTTCTAGCTTTTCTATTGGTTAATTAGAGATAATAGTCTCACGGACTAAACTTCCTGGGCTGACTTTGAACTGGGATCTTCCAATATCAGCCTCCTGAGTAACTAGACATTTTCTTTTGATAGATGTGGTGAGCTAGACTGAAACAGGAGGAATGTTTACAAGATGTCTCAATAAAGCATTAATCTAAGTGTGCACATGATTAAGTGCCTAATACTGGGTTGTAGGGATCAACATGGTGTAAACATCCCCCAGTGTTCCTCCCCACCCCCAATGCCATCAAGCATGAGCCCAAGAAAAACAGGGAGGTAGGATTCTTAGTAAAAGTACAAGTTAGAACATCTAACTCTGCTGTCTGTTGTGGAGACTTCTGCTCTTGCCCAGTGAGAATTGTAGAGATGCTCTGAATTGACTTTGGAGAGTTGTGAATTGTAGAGGGGTTTGGAAGTGTCATTTAGGGCCTTAATGCATTAGGGGACACAGCATTTTGGTAATCCTGGGAAACTTGCCCCCAGAGCACAAACCTTTACAGAGCTTTTTCCAAATTTCTCAGGAAGGGGGCTGCAATTTGAAAACCACCCGTAGGGAAGTGCTGGCCCAGAAGGCTGGAGATCACTCACCCCAGGTGACCCAGTCAGCCAGGAGAAGCTATGGAGAAAATGAGCTGACTATTTTAACAGTAGTGAGACTCCTGTACGATGACACTGTTATGGTTCAATTAATTCCTATGAACATGTTCATCATCAGCAATAACCACATTGTGCAAGGGAAGTTTATACTTTTGCTCTCCAGTTTGAAACTCATCAGTTCAATCCTATTTTTTTTTAGGAATAAAGTCTTTGACACCAGACTTAAAATCATCCATATGCATTGCTGTGATTTTCCAGTAAAATTGGTAGATGACATGAGAAAATGCAGAAAAATATGGCAGCTTTTAGATCCCAGATGCCATGTTTCTCTCAAAGCCATGGTATTCTAAGGACCAGGAAAATGTCAAAGCATTCTTAAGAAAAACATGGACAGTTTTATTTCTTTTCTCATAAATCACCTTTCTTTTGCTCTTTTTTTTTTTTTAATAATCCTTATCGGCTGGCAGCCCAGAGATAGGCCAACTCTGGCAATATGGTAAGAATTGAAGCTGTAGCTTTTTCATCATAGAAAGCTCTAAATCTTTGCATTTTCCCATTGGAGGAAACATTAGCATTCTATTCTCACCATATTTTTATTTACTGACATGCAGAAACTCTAGCACATCTGGAAACTGTAAGCACTTCTGTCTGCTTCTGAAAATAAGCCACACTCACCCTATCACATGTATGTGAGACTGACTGCATGTCACATTACTCAAAAACTAAACCAGAGTAGACTGCAATCATTATAGCTCATGTTTTTGCCCTACAAGATTCAATGGCTAAACAGACTAACAAACTCAGTTAAAGATGATATTTTGTTAACTTTAACAAAAAAGATGGCTATTCTGCCTGTGCTGTATGTTGCCAATACAAATAGTATGCTTGCCTATAGAACTAACATGTTGTTCTGGAAACGTTTTCTGTGCTATGTAAAACTTCTCAGGTGGCCGGTGTACCTGCCTGGGAATGCACTTCAGCTTATGGCTTCCATTTGAATGGAGATCTCCTAAGTCTCATTCAATATTACATTCCCAGAAACACCCAGAATAGAAGCTGTGACAAAATCTTTATATTTGTTGATGTTTGTTGATCTCATGATATTATATGATAAATGATGATAATTTGTGGTTAACCAACTTGTTATACTAATTTTAATTTTGTATTTTATATTTCATATTTATTTATTTACTTTTTACTTATTTTGTTATTTGTGCTGGTTCTGGGACTTGGACTCAATATGTAGGTACTGTCTAAGCTTTTGTGCTTGAGGCTAGTGCTTTACCACTTTGAGCCACAGCACCATTTCTGGCTCTTTAATAGTTAATTGGAGATAAGTGTCCCATGAACTTTGCTCCCTGGGCTGGTTTGGAACCACAAGCCTCAGATCTCAGCCTCCTGAGTAACTAGGATTTCAGGCATGAGCCACCAATGCCACCTTTTATTTTATTTAGTATTTTATATTTAATTAAATTTTACATTTTATTTTATTTTTGTCTTTTCTTTTTTGGTACTGGGGATCGAACCCAGGACGTTGCACTTGCTAGGCAAGCGCTTTGCCACTGAGCTACATCCCAGCCCTAAATTTTACATTTTATATTTGTATTTTATATTTTATTTTAATTTTGTACTTTGTATTTTATTTTGTTGTACTTTTAGTTTTATTATACTTTTTATTTTACTTTACATTTTATTTATTTTATATTTAGTGATGATACTAGGGCTTGACCTCAGGTCTGGGACGCTACTGCTTAGCTTCTGTTCTCAAGGCTGGCACTCTACCACTTGAGCCACAGCTCTGACCTTCTGGTTAACTCTAACCTGCTGGTTAACTGCAGATTAAGAGTTTTACAGACTTTTCTGCTGCAGCTGATTTTGAACCATGATCCTCAGATCTCAACTTTCTGAGTAGCTAGGGTTACAGGTGTGAGCTATTGTGGTGCTTGTCTTCTTGTTAAACATGCAACAGCCATTCATGCTTTGGCATCACACCTGCATTTATTTTATTGCAATATTCTTTTACTTGCAAATTTCGTGAAGGACTTTAAGAAAGGAGAAATGAAAATCTTTTTTTCCTTCTTAATTCATGACTGAAATCATGGTTGGAATTGCTACACTGGTTGTGGACATTCAAACTGACTCCTATCTTGAAAAACAGCACCAACATTTGGGCCTCTGTGAGTTCAGTGTTATGTGGTAAATTTCAATCAGATGTAAGGATCCACTGAAGCATTTTATGGCTTTAATTTAGTTCCAAGTGCTTAACTTACTGCCCCAGACTCATTCTCGTGACAGCCTGAGCACACTGGCTCTTATTCAATTTTGTTATCTGTTAGACATTTCTGCATAGGTTTTATGTCTACTCTATGCTTTGCTGTTTTATTTTTTATTTTGTATTATCTTTATGTAGTTGTACAAAAAATTTCAATTCACTATGTCAATTTATGAGTACAGTGCACCTTTTTAATTAGGATAATGTCTGCCTAAGCAGAAACAACGTGCTTTTGAAAAGTTAGACCATCTGAAATTCTTTTAAACCTGGGCATCCTAAAGAAAAAAGACTTATGGACTTTCTTATCTCTGAAGTACCACATCTCTGTCTCAGCACTGATGTACAGGAGTTGGTTTATATGTAATGTATATCACTCTTCACATCAACTTAGTATGAAAAGTTTGCTTATTTTAAATTTGGTTATGGAAATTGGGAGTTTCCATAAACTGTGCAGATAGATATGCATTTAGGAGAGCCACTTTATCCAAGTCTTTTTTCTTTTCTCTTTCTTTTGTCTTTTCCCTCCCTTCCTCCCTCCTTCCCTCCCTCTTTCCTTCCTTCCTTCCTTCCTTTTCTTTTTGATCTATTACTGGGGCTTGAATTTAGGGCCTGTGAACTATTCCTGAGCTTTTTTTGCACTTTACCCCTTGAGCCACAGCTCCACTTCTGGTTTTTTAGTGGTTAATTGGAGGTAAGAATTTCATGGATTTTCCTTCCTGGGCTGGCTTTGAACTTCAGAATCTTCAGATCTCAGTCTCCTGAGGTGTGAATCACTGAC